CAGCGCTCCTCGCCGTGTGCACGTCACCGATTCGAAGGAAACCTCTTTAACTCTGAGTTGGCGCTCCAAGGGGGAGACGGTCACTGGCTTCCTCCTTGAAGCTACGCCTATGAGCGGTTCTCGTGACACCATCAGAAGGACCATCCCAGGAGACACGTACACCTACACTTTGACCGGTTAGGCCTCATCTCTCAGCTAAATGAACTGGTTTGTCATCTGAAGTGGTTTGTTGGATAGGTCTCACTTCACAGTGTGCGTGTTTCTGTGTTTTTCCAGGTCTGCGGCCAGGAACCACTTATTCTATTAACTTGTACACTCTGAATGGAAACACAAGGAGCGCTCCGTTTACTCTCCGGGGTCACACAGGTATAAAACAAGTCGGTGTGCCTTATCTTTTAGACACCTTGGGAAGCATCAATGTGGTAATTTTGCATAATTGGACCTTTATAGTCACACATGGACATGGTTGACTAAGAAGAGTGATGCACAATAAAGATACGCTTTCTTTTAAGTAGGTGTAAAGTATTTTTATTTTTTTTTACAGTTTGTTAGTAGCAAGACTTGGACTACACCAACATTCACAATAACAACACATACTGAATTTGTTGTAAAACTTTAGTTGATTTATTTGAAGTATACTTTCCTTTTTTAAGGTAAAAAAAAAGGATCCATATTTTAATTGTTGCTTTACCACCAGAACATAAGACATGAACTAATGGAAGGACTTTCTCCTTCACGATTTTCTGTATTCATTGTTCTATAAATAATGGCAAGTCATTCAGGTCCTGGAGCAGCAAAGCAGCAACTTATTTTCTACTGTAAATGAAATCATCATTTGTCGAAACTTAAAGGGGGAGAATTAATTTTTTTGAAAATAGTTCATGACACGCATGATGGGTTTTTTTTTCTCTGCAGTTAAACCCGTGGTTCAGGCTCCTACCGGCCTCCAGTTTACATCTTTGACCCCCACTGCCATCTCCTTCACCTGGCAGCCACCTCCCACACAAATCACCGGATACTACATCACCTACGAGGAGACGGGAAGAACCCCGCAGGAGCTCATCCCACAACCCCACGCTGGCCAAAACTACGCCACCATATCTGGTACGTCCAAATCATTTCTTGTCCAACTAATACGATCTAATTTCAGAGTTAAACAGTACCAAAGTCTTCTTAAAACAAAGTAGCCACCCTTTGTATTTTTTTTTTTTTTGCACTAATAAATTAACTATACGTGATGTGCAATGTTTCTGTTCAGGTCTGAAACCAGCCACAGAGTACATCATCAAGATCATCGTCATCCAGAACGGACAGAGGAGCACACCTCTGGCGGGAAGGATCAGGACTCGTAAGTATTTACCTTTTATATTAAAACAAAGTGGTTGCAGGTAAATGAGTTGGAAAAATATTAGATTTGAGCCTCTCCTTTTATTTGCTCAAATGCATTTTTTTTGCTGTAGAAAGCCTACTACATTCAAACAGTGTTTGGCTCTTTTAAAAACATACCTGTTTATAGTTTGAATGTCTTCACAAATGTCATTCAAAAATATCTGCGTGTGTTTGCAGCGCTACGTCATGAAATAGTTGCGTTTTAGTCCAAAGCTGCAGATGTGCCGCGTCCTGTGTGGCTGTGACAAATTAGCTTCGCCGTAGCTCTGCCTCATCTAACCTGCTTGCTTCCCTAACCTCGTCTCTCCCGCCCAGAGCCAGACTCCCTGCTTCCCCAGCCTCTGCCGCCGCCGTACCACACCGGTGCTGGCGACAGGCTGGATGTGCCCGAAACTCACATAGACAACCAAGTCCAGTTTACGGGACCCAACCAGGATGTAGTTGGGGGTGTGGAGTACACAGAGTTTAACAACAATGGAGGCAACCCGCAGTCGCCCAATGAGCAAGTCCGTGAGCCCCTGGTGTTTGTCCCTCTCCCCGATGCAGAAGGCCATAGGCAGCCTGTCGTGAAGCTCAAATTTCCCATCAGAGCCTCGCTTTTTAACGAGACAGGAGTGCCACAGGAAGCCCAGACTCAAACCAGCATTTCCTGGAAGCCTTACAGGCAGAGCAATTCCTACCTCCTGTCCTGCAATCCTCTCACAAGCAGAAATGAGAAGATGTTCACGGTAAGGAGCAAAACCCAAAACGATTTTAGTCGGCGCAGCATGCAGCCGGAGCCATGTAACTCATTTCAAATTCAATCAATTCCCGATCTTACAGGCCCGCCTGCCAGGCACAGCCACCACCGCCACCCTGATAGGACTCACTCCTGGAGAAGACTACAATGTGATAGTGGAGGCGCTGCTGGGCGCGCTCAAACACAAGATTCTGGAGCAAAAAGTCACAGCTGGAAACAGAAGTAAGCTCAGTGTTCAGGGAAATAGCGATGCAGCGTCTGCAATGACCTGCTGGGAAGTCTGGACTCCAAACGGGGCAGACAAAACAAAAATGTCTTAAAATATAGCATCTCTGATCCGTTTGGGAAAATATGCAGCAGAAACAGACTCGTAGTCGTTACTACTGTAATGGCATTAAATGTTGGGATTAAATATTACAAAAACTAATTAGAAATATTTTATCTTATAAAAAAATGACAGAAAAGTTGTAAATGATGTTCTTAAACAATGAAATTTGTTGAATTTTTTCTCTTTTTTTTATTCTACTTTTGTCAGCATAGACTTCAGCACATGGATGTAGTTCAGAAATGTTGATACTTAGCAACTTAGCCAGATTTATAGCCAGAGGATATATAAAACAAATTTTAAAATCCCTTTTCTTTTCAACCAGAAAATTCTCACTAAAAAACCCCTTAAGATGGAAAAATATTCAAGATAAATTTGAAACAACTTGCAACTCTCAGATCAGATTTCATATTTCTGGAGACTTGTTTAGATATTCAACATTATACTATGAAAATGAAACCGTGTTTATAAGCAGACTACAAAAATGATGTCGATCTGTGATTTTCTTTTTTTTTTTTTTTTAATTCCCAATCCTAATCTTCTGCCAGTATCGAGTGGAGTCCCCACCACCAACGACCCATGTTACGACGCCTTCACTGCCACCTACCACGACGTCGGAGGCGAATGGGAGCGCATGTCCGAGACGGGCTTCAAGCTGTGGTGCCGCTGCCTGGGCGGCGGTCACTTCAGATGCGATTCATCGAGTGAGTTTTTGCAGAGTGCTCACATATTCGAACATAACCGAGCAGGTTTCTCTCGATTTCCGTTACAAGTTTGCCTCATATTGCAGAGTGGTGCCATGACAACGGCGTGAACTACCGCGTCGGAGAGCAGTGGGATCGCCAGGCCGAGAACGGACACCTCATGAGCTGCACCTGCTTGGGAAACAGCAAAGGAGAATTTAAGTGTGAACCACGTAAGGCTTCTTTCGCACCCAGAGACGTTTTCTGACGCCGTTGTTGAGGAGTTTCCGATGCAGCCGAGTTTTACTGTGCACGCCTTTTCACACAGACGCGTCAGTGTGTTACGATGAAGGCAAAACCTACCAGGTGGGCAGCCAGTGGCAGAAGGAGTACCTAGGCGCTATCTGCACCTGCACTTGCGATGGAGGACAACAGGTTTGATAAATCGGTCCTTCAGTTTTTTTGTGGTGAATTAGATGGAGCCTTAATTGACGTGTGTGCCTGCTTGTGTCTCACAGGGATGGCGGTGTGAGAACTGCCGCAGACCAGGCTCTGATGTCACCCTGTTGGAGTCCATTAGATATGGAGAAAACACACTTCGAAAAGTGAGATGAATATATATATATATATTTTTTTTTTGCAAGTATTGAATATAGCTCTTTTCATCAACTCCTCATGTTGACGTTGCACTCTTATTTTTCAGAATATCCATTGCCCCATCGAGTGCCTCCGACCTGAGCTGCTAGCGGATGGAATCACTCATCAAAATGCGCAGAAGTAACTTCTCGTATGGTCGCGTGACTCTTGCTTTCGCTCCGTCACCGCCTCAGTTGCTGCACTGTCTCACCTTGTAGAAGCCATGCTGTTAGTGTGACTGCATTATCACTTTCTATGGCACATTCACGTAGCTTCCTGCCCTGCTGCCTGGTCTGTCCAGATCTTTTTTTTCCAAGCCAGTCAGTTCACTGTTGAAAACACCTGCCTAATGACTGAACTGAGGGCTCTAATGACCCATTACAGCTAGATGTAAATAAGGTTATAAAGGCTACTTATCCAGCTGGCATTTGTTTTCCATTGACATGTTTTGGATCTACTCGTCATAAAACATCGTCAGAAAGTAAGCACTGTGTTTAAGAATGCAAAGTAGTTGGCATTTTTAATTGTCTACAAGCATCTGGTTCTTTTTTGTAACCCTTCGTTTTGTAGGTGGAAGGGTCGCACTGTGTGTGATTGACGAATCTTTAACATCTTTTTTTTTTTTACCAGTTCATCCCTTTAATGACGCTATTCGAATGTTTGAACTAGGCTGTGAGAATGTGAACCGGTCTATTTTTGTACTTTGTCAGTGCCAATGTTGTTTCTGTCTTTGACAAAAGTCCCTTGTTTTAATAAAGCTGGAGAGATTCTAAATTTTGAATGTTGTTGTATGATCATCTCTATTTTTTGTTCTACAAACAAACAGAAACTTAAGACACTAGGGGAATAACAACTCTTTTTTTGGGGGGGTGAGGGGGAAACATTGCCGTCTTGTATAAAGCAAATAATGCTAGCATGCAATCAACTACTTAACATTCATTTTGTTCATATGTTGCCAACTTTAAATTAGTATAAAAACACTCAGGTAGGCCGAGTTTCGAAATCAAACAAGCAATATGACCAAAAATAGTAGTTGCGAATTTGTTCATGCATATTCTATAGAGAATCGTGATACTAAAATAAGTGGTTGTTTTTTAAATATTGGTGGAACAAACTTGTCATTTTTCAAAATGCGATAAATTCAAAATAACTTAAAATAATGTACTAGAAAATGCAACTAAATACCAAGTTAAAATTTTAAGAGAAGGAAGATAACAGACCACAAGAATAAAAACAATACTACTCAGCAATTTATTTGAATTACCTACATTCTACATTCACAGCTACTTTATTGCTCACTCATATTAGAACGCAGCTAGTGTTACAAAAAAAAACTAGTAGTGATTTCTACACTTCTACAACAGTAACAGTAGGAATGTCTCAGTATCAGAAACGTTGGTAATGCTCAGTGATGGAAGAGTCGCAGGCTGGTGTGCACCAGAGTGATGCCCAGCTCATTGCAGGCGTTAATCACAACCTCATCAGCAGCAGAGCCCGCAGGAGCTGCGATGAACTCCACACCGCTCTGCATACGGACAGAAAGAAGAGACGGTTACTCTGCAAACTGGGCTGACTTTCACGCATGCTAAAGAGCGTGTACATGCGTAGAGTGCAATTTACCCGTTTGGCTCGATCTATGTTGTCTCTGAAGGGAAAGAAGGCGTCCGAGCTGACGGCGACGGCCTGCAGGGAGCTGATCCAGTTCTTCTTTTCAGTAGCCGTCAGAGACTCCGGCACCTCATCGTACATGGACTTCCAGACAGCCAGGTCTGGGCCCTGCAAGCATAAACCACACAAAAAACTTAAAAAACAAACAAAAAAAAACAAAAAAAAAAAAACACAACATCATCAATTTCCGTTTTGGTCACAGACCACAAATCCTTTAAACTAAACACTCTTCTGTTTTCTACTGCTAGTCTCACAGCTTGGGAGAAACTGTAGATGGACTGAAAAGATTAATTGCGATGAATCAATTACTTAAACAATCATCAACTAATTTATTAATCGATTAAT